TTTTTTTTTTTTTTTTTTTTTTATTCCCCTTCCTTCTCACTCTTTCCCTCTTCCTCCAATTCCCCATCAAATTTTTTTATTCTTGTTGATATTAATCTTAGCACATTTTATGGCATATATTTACATTATTGAGTTTATTAGGTTTATGTACATGCAATATCTTTATTTATTTCTCCTTCCCTTCCTCCTCACCCCTCATGCATTTTCCCTTGAACCACTTCCCTATTGTAAGAAATCCATGTCCTTGTCCTTTTCTATCCACCCTTCACTATTATCTTTGTACTTTTTCTCCCTCAAATGGGAGATACCAAAAGTATCTGCAATGGATTCACAAGGATACTAAACAATATTTTAAGTTAAATAAAAGAAATACAACAATAATGACCACCTTTCAGATACCACATTAACTCCTAATTCAAGATAGTTCATAGTTTCTACATTAGATTGTACCACATTCCTCTTGATGCCATGTCTTTTTTATTTTTTATTTTTGAAAGACAGGATCTCATTATGTTACCTAGACTGGCCTTAAACTCCTGGGCTCAAGTGATTCTTTGTTCTCTAGTCCCCCGAGCAGCTAGGACTACAGCCACATGCCACTGCACCTAGCACAATGATGTTGTATCTTTATAAAGCTGGAGTTTTAGTAGTTGTGATAAAAAGCAAAAACTTCATGAAAATCAATGTGAAACAGGAAATGAGGGTGGCAGCGTCCAATTTTACCCCAAATTGGGAGAAGTCCCCAGTAAGTGTATACTATATCTGATATTACCTGACTCTACTGATCTATTTAACATTTAAAAAGAGACATGTGCCTTTTAATATGATGCAGTGAAAAATACACAATACTACCTGTGAAGCATTCTAGCAAAAACACTTGAACATGAATCTGATCACTCATCCTGATCTAATTACTAGTTTACAGAGTACACCAGAGCCTAGTGTCCTCTACAGGTAAATGGCAAGGAGGGAAGGAGAACTGATAGTTTACAGGCAACGAAGGACTGGCTAAGCCCTTACTTACCAGCACTATAAACAAATAAAAAATAAAAACAAGAGACATAGCAACCACAGGTAATGGTGGACTTTTTTTTTCATGTTTCAGCCAACCAACTATAAAAAGAAATTTTTCAATTGATGGGGAAATTTGAACACTGAATATTATTTTTTTGTTTTGTTTTGTATTGTTTTTGGTTTTGGTGGTACCAGGGATCGAACTCAGGACCTTGTGCTTGCAAAGCAGGCAGTGGAACCACTGAGCTAAATCCCCAGCCTGAACAGTGGACATTATATTGATACTTTAATGCAAACATTCCAAGGTATACATAGGTGTAGAGAAATTTTGATTAGCTATAGGCTAATAATTAGTGAAGCTGGGAGATGGATATATGGGGGTTCATATATTCTCCCCTATATTCTTTCACTTTTTTTTTTTTTTTTTTTTTTTTTTTTTTTTTTTTTTTTTAAATAAGGT